TATCATATCTAGTCTACTGCTGCTTCAGGTTACAACATTTTAAGTAAAATTCTGTAACATATCATCCTCCATCTTAAAGCTGGCTTCTTGATGCTGCACCTCCTAGGATCAGTCTGATTGTTGAAAGCCTGAAAATTTCCAGTCTAAAGTTATTAAGTTTCACTATGTATCCATTAGTTAAAATATTGCTCATTCTCTGCTATTCAACCATTTTCTGTACTTCTATCTCACTCATCCCTGTTGGACAAACCAAGATCTTTAATCTCCTTTCAAAAGGTGGGCTCCTCATTCTTTTTATCACTCTACAGGTCCTTTGCATGTGCTTCAGTTTGAGTTCACTCCTCCTGAAACCTTAATGAGTTTCATACAGGCTTCCCCAACAGAACAGGTGCTTTCATCAGAACACATCCAAATTCATGAAGAAATGTAGTTTCTCTTCAAGGAGAGAACTGTCATTTTCCTCAGATTACTTAATTTATGACATAATCTTGATAATGTGCTGTTTGTTATGTTAAGGTTATCAGTACAGTACTACACAAATGTAGTAAGTCAATAAGTTTGTTGAAAAACTGTGAAAGAAACAAATTGTATGTCTGATACAACTTAGTTTATTTTAACAGAGTTCAGGACTAAGAAAGGCATGAATTCTTCACACTAACTCTATTTGTCAAGTATGGACTTTATGTTCCTTTAGGTAGGTTCTCTACGGCAGTTCTAGCTAGATGAAGCACAATCATAAAGTTTTTTCCTGCAGCTGTATATTTTTATCTTGGCTTTCTCAGGTAGAAATTATATCTGCATATGGAAAAATCTGGAAGTTATGTAAACGTTAAAATAATCTACAGCGTGTTTAGATAAGTGAGAGGAAAGTGAGAATCTAGTAGGAGACACTGTTAAATAATCAGACTGGTTAGCCATCTGCACATGGATGTTCTAGGCCAGCACTGGTTCAGAGTTCAGGGGAAGTGTGGTCACACATAGTCACAGGAGAATGCTCACTATTTCCCTTTTCCTGGCTGAGTGAACTAACTGCCCCTGATTTGACTAGGGGTGAGGTAGGCCCTGTGCAGGGCTGCATAGCTGAGAGGCCACTCTGTGTTATCAGTAACTTCTACAGGCTCTTGTGGCACACAAAGTAGCAGGAGTTAGGTTGGTTTGCTGGTTCAAGTAGCCATCACACCTGCTCTGAGTAAAGGGAGTACACCCACACTGGAAAAGCTGGTTTTTCTTCCCTCTGGCCAGCACTCCACCTTGCCTTCATTCCTGAAGGTCCATCACAGGGAATCATTGTCTACCTGAACTTTCCTCACACTGCAGTCAGATGACATTGTTTGTGTGAAGGAATTTTCAATCACTGCACCCCTCAGTAGGTTAATCAGAGAGAGGATCGGGGGTCTCACCATGGTTGAGGAATGGCGCATCTTCCTCTAGTCTGTGACATTTGAGTATCTGGTGAACAGTCATTTAACACAATCTGTCCTTCATCCAGACCAGACCCAGAGTGCACCTTTTGCTTTCTGTGTTGGTGGCTACTTGGAGAGAAAACGTACTCACCATGCTATGCAGCATGTGCTGTACTATGCACATTGTAAGAACATATTTGCCTTAGAAAATTAAATTAAAGACATGGGATTGTACAGCTTATTCCACCATCGTTCTTCATATCTGCCCAATACAGCAGAAATCTGGACCTTAAGCACTATGTGTCATTAAGCTCTTAAGAATTGCTCTTATGGTAAAAATCATAACCAAACTTAGCCAGGTAGGTCGAGAAGGAAAAGCAAGCAGAAGGGATAGAATAGAAATAAAAACAGTTTATCGGGGACAAGATGAAAAGTGGAGTGGTTGCAACTGAGGAAAGATAAAGGGAGCAAGCAGGGAAGTGATGTTTTGCTCTTCAAAAAAGTAGTAGTAAATTATTCCATAAACAAACAAAAGATAAATTAAAGGAAGAATCCGAATATATAGAAGAGACTTTGCCTACTGTAGTGTTTTTTTTGTGGTTGCTAGAAGTAAACACATTTTTGTTTCAGAGATGGTGGTGTATCAGTAGCATTCATATAGAGAAACTGAGATTTTGTAAGACTTTCATCTATTCTTGCTTGGGGCTATTATAATCAATGTGATGCTAAAAGCAGTGATGACCACATGAAATGTATGCTGGGCTCCACTTCTTTCTGTGTTATAATTCCCAGGAAGAAATTTCCAGTTGAACTTAGTTATTGAGATGAGGATCAAAAAGTTTTATCTATTCCATTTCAAGTATATAAGCAATTTTATTCTGCTAACTTTCTAGCCTTCTCTTGTTACTGTTACAAAGTAAAATTTCTTATATTCCCATGCTAAATTCAAGCAGCATATGCTAGATGCTAGCATATAAGTGCTCTGTCTGGTAAAGAAATTACATGAACAAGGAATTGAGAGCAATAATGTAATTTCAGGAGATTTTTAGAGTGAGGAACTCTGTTCTCAGCTATTGCCACTGCATAAATAATAACCTAAAACCCACCAACAAACAAATGAACAAAAAACCCAAACAAAAACCAACCAAAAAAAACCAAACAAAAAATCCAAACCCGAAGCAGATATGAATATGTATGTGGAAAAGCTTAAGGAAGCCCTGCTAAAATTTGGAGAGCACGTAGGAAGTTTTTGTAGTGAAATGTAAAGAATTGGAAAAGAGCACACAAAAGAATGAAAACGAGGGTGAATTTTGGATCTGCTAGCAATCCTGCTGAATGTAGAATGATCCAGCTTCCTGCTGGTCAAAGATGAGTCACCACCTAGGATGAAAGGCAGATGGGTTAGAACACGTTCTAACCTGCTCGGAATAAAGTGGCATTATACAAGTTTCCTTAAACATGCAGTCTAGTCTTGCTGTAATTTAAGCAAATGCCTGCACTAAATTGTGTGAGTTTTCTGAAGACGTGGACATTACCTGTATGGTTAGATTCAGCTATTTACTCTGGTACTTTCAGGATCAAAGTTTAAGCAACTAACTTCAATATACAAATGGAATTTTATCTCACTTGGGCTTATCTTAAAGTGCAGAGTAATTATTTTCAACACATCTAATTCAGTCACTAGATTAGAAATAGACATCATTGTGTCTTATCATTCACTGATCAAGGCCATTTGCATAATATTGCAAATATCTTCAAGGTTATTAAGATTCAAGATTGTTTCAAGGAATTTAAACTGTCCATGTTCACTGGCACAGATTACACCTAAATGAGAAACCTTAATAGTTACCTAAAGCAACTCATTTACTTGGAAGCTTAACTTGTTCATTTTCCATATATTTATTAACAGGAAAGACTTGGTAGGAGTTTACAGGCTGCCCAGATTTTCTTTTAGCTTGATCTTGCAGGTGCAGATAGAGCACAGAAAAGATGGTTCATTATCTTTTGTCCTCTTGGAGGCAAGGTCTTGAAGGTAACTAGTAGTTGCATCAACTAACCAAATAGAGTGTGAACTACCGCAAACTACAGCCATGATGAATCTTCAGGGAGGTTTTTTGCAAAATTCCTCACTTCATAGAACAGAATGTCAGTGAGTTTTGTATTTAGTAGAGAATTGGATATGGGATCGCTGTTTGTTTCCTTCAGTATCAACAGTACAGACCAGTTTTCCACTGGTCTAAATTTGTTTTTGAACCTGCTGGCATTGTCTGTCTCCACAACATCAATCAGTTAAAACAAATTTATCCTCTGTGTAATCAACCAGTACACCAACTTCTTGAGCAGTATCTAACTTAAATGCCTTCTACACCATCAGAAATAAAACTGGGAAAGAGGTGCATTTGGCTTGGGCACTAGCAGCTTTCCTGGGCCCCTGCAAGTTTACATGAGCCACGGAGGCTGGTAAAGGTAGACTGGTAGCACCTTCTTCTGCTGTTTGTAACAATTCTGCTGCAAAATATACACTCAAAATAACGAGGGGCATAAATAATTCCATTAGGTTCATTCATACAAATAAGACCTTTCAGCACTCAGAGGGTAACGAAGGGTTCTGATTTTTCTGACTTGCTGTTTCACTGGATCCTGTTAGAAATTGAAATCTCTCGATACTCAGTTTATTCAAGATTGAAGCATTACAAAGTTCCTGCAAAGCAACAGTTCTTAGTGCTTTCTAAATGCTGATGAACACATTTCCTATACCAGTTATTTTAATTGGAAGATCAAGTTGAAACGGAAAGTAAAGGTACTGCCTGTGAAACTGAAATATTATGTCTCTTGGCCTTTATTTTCTTTTGGTAGAACTCTTATCCGTGATTTGTTGCAGTAGCTAGAACTACCTGATAATTCATTTAATCCAAAGATAAGAGGAAGTGCAGAGGTGCCTTGTGCCATGGCTCAATCATTGATTGAATTTATAATCTGGTATTGTAGGTTGGCTGTGTAGTGGAATGAGTGTGAAATATGTGGAGTGTATTTTTGTTGATGAATTTCCTGGAAGTTATTAAATTAATTTAGTGATTACAGTCACACTCTTTTCTAATTATGTAGAGCAGCAATTACTGAAACTGTTGCTGCTGGGTAGCCTTATTTTCACCAATAAAAATCATTTAAAGTGTTTATATCACTGCCTTTCTTTAATGTTTGGTAGTGTTTATATATTCTGTTGATTTTTTTTTTCTTTTAATACTAGTCAGGGGTCTTCTAGAACTAGAGAAGGCAGGTAAAGAGTCACTACTGGACTTGAGTGATAATCAGAGGTAATAATCAGATTTTTTGAAAGACATGCCTGGAGACATCCTTCAGATTCAGAACTATATGTATTGTTACTTTGCTCGTCATCATAGATATCACTTGCTTATCACAGAACAGAAAAGGAAACATCTCTTGTCTGGTTTGCTTTAGAAGTTCTACCATAGCTGTAAAAATATGTCTACTGCTTGCTCTTTTTGTTTTACTGTTCTACTGTTTTTCTTCCTTTTTTCCCGTGTCTCTACCATAAATTACATCTAATTTGTATCACATTTTTTATGTCCCTTTTAGGTATTGGAGTTGGCGTGCTGGTACGAGAATATGGCAAATTGTCCAACTTGGATAAAGTCTACTTTGCCTTTCCTGGGGAAGTGCTGATGAGAATGCTCAAACTCATCATTCTGCCATTAATCATATCAAGTATGATCACAGGTATGTCTGGAAATATACTGTTAGATGATGAGGTTATCATTGTGGGTTAGCTTTCTTTCTAAAGGAAATAACCTCTGAAAACAATTTGATGGAACTTCTATAATGAGAAATTCAGATTTCGTACATTTAGATTAATTTTTTCCCTATATAATGAGGATGTATTTGGAATGATTAGCGTTGTTATCTGGTAAGTACATTATAAAGAGCTGTGACATAATAGCTTTACATGGTTTTAGATTCTTGTATCTCCCTCTCCCCCTGTTTTCAGGAGTACATTAAACAGTCACAAATTGCAAGCCCAAAGCTGCAACTGCATGTTCTGAGGTAGAGAGTTAACTATTTTAAGTAGTCTCATGTTGCTATTTCACGAGAAAGGTGGGGCTAATCTCTTGGCTTATTGTCATAAAGAGAATATTCCTGACCTACACTGCCCATGAGGTACCTTGCATGAGCTCTGGCATTTGCTGAATCCTTCTATAAGTCCATTAAATTCACTGACAGAAATAAATTACGGGGAAAAAATCCACTTGGTTCAAAGGAGTTGTGAGTTTTGGGTAACTACAAGTGTGGAGGGAGGCTGTATGGCCAGGAAGGGGTTGTGGAAAGAAAAGAACAGCTTCCATCTCATGGAAAGAGCAAGAAAGCCATTGGCTAGAACCTTGCCATGGCATGCTAGAATTTGCTAACAGCTCACCCAGTAGCAAAGATTTGGAAAGATTTGGTGGAGACTGCTTAAAGCAAAGAGACTGAACTGAATGTCAAATAGCCTTTCTTTAAAAATAGTAAATAAATTTAAAAAAGGGAAAGAAAGCCAAGCAGACATATCTTTATTTCGTAAACCTTTAGTGAAGTACAAGGATGGTGACTATTTTCTTTTAGCTTACTACAGTGAATCAAGGCACATTGGTCACTATATTGTCCCTTTTCATCTCCACAAAGCCTCTGTTTTGTGAATGTATTTGTGTCCAGGTGTTTTTTGATTGATTGGATGTTAATGAAAATGGATCAGAGATCAGAATACAGAAAGGGAGAGCATGCTGTGATCAGAAAATGAAAGGGGAATTTTGGTCATGCTATGAAAGTGCTTTTGAGAATTGGATATTGAGTACAAACTTTCAAGCTCCTCAAAGATCATGGTCAAAAATATCACTGATTTCGCAAGAGCACATCCCAAAGTGGGCCTATGACAGAAGCATCCTGAAGGAAGCTGCCAAGGCCTTTCAAGCATATCTGTAATGCAGGGTGACAGGAACCCAGTGTTAAAACTGAAATGGAGAATGTCAAGAGCTGCAAGATCCAGAAGGGAAAGCTGCCAAAGGCAGAGTGAGAAATGATGGCACAAAACAGTCAAAAGCTGCGTCCAAAGGAACGGAGAGGAAACAGTTGTTAGTATGTAAAGGAGAGGAAATCTTTACTCTGTGACAGGAGATCCAGGAAAAGTTGCCAAGAGAAGATTAATACATTTCTTTTCTTGAACAAGCTTTTGTTTTAGAATTAAGCTAGGCTCATGTCTTCAGAAATAATTTATATCAGTAGGATAACCATGAGATGAATTATTTATTAAATGTATTCCTGTCCAGCACTTGCAAGGGGAAATAGCAATCAACCTGTTAAAAATGTTAGGCTCTTACTTAACGTTTAATGTTCCAGTATGAATAAACTGCATTTGTAGCTGTTAACACAAGCTTGGATTTTAAAGATTGTAGATTACAGGAGTTAAATTCATATAAAGAGATGAGAATCACATGCTCTGATTCTGACCTTGGCATATCCCATTTCCATAAAAATAAGGGCATGTTTCTTCTACACCTCTATGCTCAGCTTCTAGGAAAGAAAAAGGAAACAAGACGGATAAGGAACAGAAGCTATTTCAATAGAACATGTAGGTCTTTGCTGCTATTGAAAACAGAAGCATTAGCTGCCTGTACGCAAGTAACGCTGAAATGTATGGCAAGCAAATGATGTACTCATTTTTGTGCATGATGATTTTCACTGTTTACCAGCAGTCATCCTCAGGAAGTTGATGAAATATTTTGCCTCTTTTTTAAAAGAGATATATTAACCTTCCAAGCATCAGAAATGCAAATTTGAATTGAATAATAGACCTGTGTATAATCATGAAGCACACTAGTAATTTTTCCTCTTTCATACAGAATGGAAAGGACCTCTTGAAACCCTCTAGTCCAATCCTCAACTAAAGCAAGGTAACCAGCCAGAGCAGGTTACCCTAGACCATGTCCAGGCAGGTTTTGAGAATCTTCAAGCATGGGGACTTCCCAATTTCTCAAGGCAATATGTTTGACCAACCTCACAGAAAACAGTGTTTTCCTCTTCAGATGAAATGTCGTGGGTTTTTTCCATTTTTGCCTATTGTTTCATGTCTTGTCTTTGGGCATCAGTATGAAGAGTCTGGCTCTGTACTCATTCACATTCATCAGCAATTTATATACATGAAAAAGATCCCTCTGAGCCTTCTCTTCTCCAGAGTAAACAGTCCTTGCTCTGTCACCCTGTCTTCATGTGAGAGATGCTCCAATCCCTTTGTTATGTTTGTGGCCCTTCACTGGACTCACTGCAGTCAGTCCATCTCTTTCTTGTACTGGGGAGCCTACAATTAGACAGAGTACTCCAGATGTGGCCTCATAGGTGTTGCGTTTAGAGAGATCACCTCCCTCCACATGCTGGCAGTGCTTGTCAGAGTACTGCCCATGAGGCTGCTGGCCACCTTTGCTGTGAGATGTTGCTGTCTTATGGTCAGCTTGTTGTCTCTCGGGACCTTCAGATCCTTCTCTGCAGAGCTGTTCTCCAGCCAGCCATCCACCAGAATGTACTGGTGCTTTGCATTATTCCTCCCCAGATGTAGAGCTCTGCATTTCTTCTTGCTGAACTTATGATACTTCTTTCAGACAAATCCTCCAGCCCATCCAGGTATCTCTGAGTGACAGTATAACCATATCATGTATCAGCCATTCCTCCCAATTTTTAATCATAGAGTGCTTTGGTTTGGAAGTGACCTTAAAGATCATCTAGCTCCAAACCCCCTGTCATGAACAGAAACACCTTCCACTAGACCATGTTGCTCCAAGCCCCATCTGACCTGGCATTGGACCCTTCCAGGGATGGGGCAAACACAGTTTATAGGGACAACCTATTTTAGTGTCTCACCACCTTCAAAGTGAAGAATTTCTTTCCAATATCTAATCTAAACTTACCTGTTTGCAATTTAAAGCCATTCCCATTTTTCCTGGAATTAGATGCCTTTGTAAAAAGTTCGTCTTTATCTCTTGTATTGGCCCTTACAAGATCTCTCAGTAACTTTCTCTCCTTCAGACAGAAAAATCCTATGAACTTGCTGAGGGACCACTCTGCTTCAACATCAGCTCCATCACTGGGTCCTTGATAAAATGTTAAACAGTACTGGTCCTGGTATCGACCTCTGGGGTGCATCATCACTGACTTGCCTCCAACCAGACTTGTGCTGGTGATCACAACCTTCTAGGCCTGCCCATTCAGCCAGGTTTTGATTCACCTCACTGTGCAATTGTCTAAGCTGTATTTTGTCAGTTGTTCCATGGGGTTATTATGGATGACAGTGTCAACAACCTTACTAAAGTCAAGTTAGACCACACGATCTCTTTGCAATTATGGATTTTAGCACAAAAGCAAAATTCACACTTTAAAAAAAAAATGACTGTAAATTCTTTACAGAACAAGGATGGGATTAAAAAATTCAAGGAAGATCCAGGATGTGTCTTTAGCTAAGTTTCTAAACAAGACAGACATCTCGCTGTTAGTGGCAAGTCCACATATTTTTGCATTTGGCTGTACGTTTCCTGGGGTGAGACACAAAAGTATTTTCCTCTGAAGTAACCTCATTATTATTGACTAAATATATGACATGCAAGGAAAGCGCCACAGCCTGGATTCTGGGTGGCTCTTTGGTGGGACTAGATGCGTTCTGAGGATGTCCACCTCCTTGGGATTTGCATATTATGCAGACCTCAATAAGGCTTTTATCTGATGTTCATGGCTGTCAAACCTATATACACATTCACCTGCTTAGTGGCAGATATTTATGGTCCCAATACATGCAAAGTTACTGCAGTAAAACTAGTGACAATACATCAGATGGTCCTGAATGACTGTCTTTTTAGTAAACAAGTTAAGGGGATGCTACTTAGCTCACCTTGAGAAAGTTCAGCATTGCCGTGTCATTGTGCCTTTGTGGCAGGCCAAGTGTGTGCACGAGAGATAATTGCAGGGGCTCATTTGGTGCGTAATTGTAACCAGATCATGGTGCTGGGTCCAAAGGCATCTAAGAAGTTTTGATACCTTTTGCAAAGGTATATCATGTCGAAATACTGGATTTTGGTTACTACCAACATTTTTGCACAAGAATCACCAAGACATTTTTGAAAATACAGTCCATAGTTTTTTTATGATTAGAATGTCTTAAAAGGTAATGTTGTATCCTGAAAAGAATCACCTTCTGTTTTAGAGACAGTGAGCTGTGCACAAATGCATGTCTCATGCCCAGAGCCCAGTCCATTTGGATGTAATGATATAAATCAAGCCCATAGCAAAGAGAGTAGAGGTGGGAATCACTCTTTGAGATTCCAGGATTTTTTGCAAAATTTAAAGTATTAGTAACTTTAGTTTGTTGGAGATTCCATCTAAGTGGAAAAACTCTCCCTGATTTCTTCACTTAGATGAGGAACGCACTTCCTTCTTCTATTTAGAGTTCTTATTAGAGCAAGAACACCTTCCCCCTGTCTATTTTCAGATTCAAAAGGCAAAATCCTCCCTCTGGTTAAATGGAGAGCTATGTAGAGTGTGTTTTTTGTTCACAAACCCAGTTCCTCTGAGTGTAAAAGAGAAGAAGCATTGTTTACATACTTAAATAGTGTACAAGTTTCAGTCTGTGAAATTTTTTGCACTAACCTACCTGGAAGTTTAACTGTAGCCCAGTAAAAAGCAGACATAAGCACTAAACTACTTTTACTTTTTTTTTTTTTTTAGAAAAAATTATAAAGTGTGGTTAATAGGTCCTTTGGGAGGGCCCTAGAGCCAAATTTTAATTGTTCTTCTCATAATCATTTTAATGGATGCGGATGTAAATTTATTTACTCTGACCTAAAAGCCACCACTGATAATTCAATGCAAAATATAAGACTCGTTTGCATCCCCCTGCAATTTCTGTCCCTCAAATTAGCTAAAAGTACACTAATGAATCATTCATTTGAAGGAAATATTTGTATTTTCTTGCTCCTGCTGTAGTGACATGGGAAAATTGAAAATAAAAATCAAAAGCCTAGAGTGTTGCTAAAGATCAATACTATGACATCAGAACTACAGCTCTAATGAATGTAATACTCCACACACTAAATCCACTTCTTTTGAAGTAATGCTCTAATGGAAGAAATTATTAGACCAATACAAAAAATATATTATTTTTAGGTGCCCTGTAGGGAAAAGGAATTGAGAGGAATCTCTTGTGTACTTCATGGGAGTTTTGGGACTTATATCTAAGGATTTTAGGAGTACTTAAAATAAAATGTCCTTGAAAGTCCTGGTAATTCACAGCTTTGATTTCACTCAGAGAATCAAAACTCTCTGGAATTGTGCAGTATATTTCATCACAGATGCATGCTCAGCAGACTTCCTTTAGTCACTTTTAGCCTTATTTTTCATGGAGTGAGTTTCACGCTGTATGCAATGGCTGTAAATGTTTGCAGATCTCTTTTCTGTCAGGATCACAGCAGAACTTAAACTGGAGACAACTGTCAAGTTTCCTGAACAGGAACCTGACTTGTTCTCCTGTACTTGGGCACAAGCTGGAGAAACTTGCACGTCCAACCTGAAGCTAATTAATCCACACAAGGTGTCTGGACTTATTTCCTGCACCTAAGTTCCTTGTTAGTAACTAGTGTCAGATCTGGATCTTAACCTAACATCCTGATATTACAGGAATGCCATGGCTGTGCTCCTCGTCTCTCTTCAATAATTCCTCACATGGGGTTATTTCACACTAGCTGTCTCACTGATTTTCAAACTACAAGCCATGGATCTTGATGTGAGGTCTTTCTTCAGGGCTAGAATGTGTTCTATCAAAAACTTCATGGAAAAGCTGGCATCACATACCTAATAAATGACCTTCCTTTTAAAATTTCCAGCAATTTTAGCTTCGGATTAAAAGATGTGACACATATCACAGCAGGTACATTTCTCAGATCTCAATATTGATAACATGATTTTATCAGCTTTTTAAAATCTGGTTTAAGTTCTACAGTAATTTCTCTTGTTTCTTACATTTTCTCCCTGACAAAATATTAATAAGGCTCCTTGTGTTTCTGACCTTCCCTGCACTTCCAGCTTTCACAGGCAGCTTCAAAGACACTAGAATAGGTGTGTCGGAGTTTCCTGGGTTGTGAATTTGTGCAGAATCAGCAATGGGGAATACTAGAATTCCTGAAAGCAATTGATGAGGTGTTTGCAGCTACATACAGCATGCCTCAGAAAGAGTGGGAAAAAAAAGTATCTATTACCTTTCTGAGGACAGCTGTATGTGAGCTATAAATTCAATGTCTGCCATGCTTTGGGTTTGGCAAAACTGCTAGGTTTTCATGACTATAGAAATAAACTCTTGCCTTACTGCAGGGCCTGCTTTGTTCTAGTGCTGTCTGAAGCATCATGCCAGTTCTACCTTTCCCAGAACCAACTATACCCTCTTTTATTTGCACTTCTTACTCATAGTACAAAGGTAATGATTCCACCACAAATCTGGCTTATTCTGACGTCCGCTTGAGAGAGAAAAATATTCCAGTGAAATACCTGGACCAGTGAATTTTCTTATTCGCAGAAGACCATTGTTTGCCCGGTGTGAAGAGTATGTTATTTTGTGGCTGATGGATGGGTTGATTAGGTTATTTATTCTTTTCAATTGTTCGGAATTAAAGTGTGAAACTTCACACCTTGTATCTATGTTTGGCAGGCAAGGCACTAGTTTGTTTAATCACAGTGCCACAGAATTTGGTGAATGGAGATAAAAGAGCTACAATGCAATAAGAAAAAAAATGGAAATAGAGTAGTAGTCAGATTGTTCTAATTTCTCATGTTTATCCTTGAGAATCAGAATATATTTAAACAACTGTTTACTTTTTTTTTTCCCCACTTTATTTGTAATTTAAGTTGGAACACAATGAGACTGTGCCTGTGCCCAGGAATAGACCTGCTGGTTCCATTGTGTGTCAAATATATACAGATTTACAGTACTGTAAAGGAGCACAGATAAGGAAATGGTGGGAGAGCAAATCTCTTTTGTTTCCTAAAATACAAGGTTTCCAAATCAGTGCTCCTTTGGTATCACTGTTCCTGGGGTGGCCACTGGCTCAGCAGTTTCCATTTCTACAAGTCCACGAAGCACAACTATTCAGAGATGCACTGTTACTGAGGTGTCCTTAACAGGCCGTGTGCATCGCCAGCGCAGTCCTTGCACTAGACCTCTGGTCTAGATGAACATACTCAAGAACTGTCTTTCAAATACCTGCATATTCTTTGCATCCTTTGCTCTATTTCTTAAGCCAAAAGATCCCCTCCCCTCAAGAAAATCAGGTTCATTATGTAATATTAGTAAACTAGTTATCTGGGCTCAGGCAGGAAACTCACCTTGTCCCTCAGTACCATGTACATTGTTTGAAGGATAGGAAATGTTACGTTACTGTTAATGAGTTTTGGCTTCAGTTGTATTGAGGGATGCTGGAGGTCCTGTCCCTGCTGTCCATGTGCAGTCATTGAAGCAGGCAGGACTGCAGAGTCATGGGCTATTAATGGACAAGTCTTTGTGCCCATCCTCTTCAGATTACTTCCATCACAGTCTACTACTCCTTACCCATCAATATCAATTGACCTTCGGCAACTGAAACGGCCTCAACATTATTTAAGGCTTTAAATTATAGTAATAAAACTTGGAAGTGCAATTCTGGTTCATGGAGCATGATTACCACCAGCTCTCAAGGGCAAAGAGTCCCT